ATCTGTTTTCTCAAAAATTTTACATAATGGGAACTCTTAGTATAGGATTCCCCAGTGAGATGATTGTCAAAAATGAGTGGTATCCAGTAAAAGCAATGGGGCTATAAAAGATTGGGTAGGTTTAAGCAAGTAGGGAGGAAAGGAGCAAGGCATTCCATAGAGAAGAGGGGCTCTGTGACCATAGCCAGAAGATGGGAAGTTCTTTTATGGCAGCAGGTAGATTCAAGCAGAGATCTACGAGAATTATTTGACCTGGAGAATTATTTGACCTGAAACAGCACAATGTGTGGTTGTTTTTTTTGGATTCTGACTTTACGTAAGTAAGATATACAGGGACATTTTATATGACACTATTTTCAAATTATTTGCTAAAATTTAATTTTTGCTAAAAATTTAAAATAATTATAAAACTTAAACTATAAAATGTTCACAAAGAAAATGAAAACACATACACACGTATATATATAACATATATATATTTTGGGAAAAATAAAACCAGTAGTAAAACAAATGCTTTGGAATATACAGATAGCTTTTTATTTTAAGAGTAATTAATGGCATACTGGATTAGAACACATTTATTAACTTATTGGATTGATTTTTTAAGTACCAAAGCAATGTATGTTGTTTGTAACCATGTAAATAAATCTGTAGAGGAATGTTATTTTCTCCTTACTTAACTCTAAACCCCACTCCTTTGATGGAACATACTAAGTTTCATGTATAATCATCCATACTTCTTTCTTCTAAGTACAAATAATATTCAGGGCCCATTGGCTCCTTCACCCTGCAACCTCTCTCTCCCTTTTACAATTGTAGTAGGCTTTACTCTGACACCTTTTTTTTTTTTAACTTGAGAACACATAAAGGACTTTTTTCAATAAAAATAGAACTAAACCAGTTTTTAAATAGCTACAAATTATAAGTGGATGTGCCATGATTTATTGTAATATTTCTCTATAGGTAGAATTTTTTTCTGTTTGATTTCTGTTTGAAGTGAGTTTGCTTGACCAAAGAATATGTTTATTATACATACATATATATACATGTAGTGTGTGTGTGCTTTACATTTTAATAGATACAATTATTTCATTACTCAGTAGACACGAATGTGTGAGAATATCATCACATAGATTTTTAACAATCCAGTGGATAGAAATTGGCATTTAATTGTATATTGTGACTACCTATGAGACTGAGAATTGATCACATGTTGATTAGCCATTAGCCATCTGGGTTTTCTCATCCATGTGTTGTCTTTCCATTTCCTGTGACTCTTTATCTATTAGGTATTTTCCTTTTTTAAAATGAGTTTATCACATGTCTTTGTATAAGTTGCAAATACTTTCTTTCAGGTTTTTTTTTTTTTGTATGTATGTGCTTTGTTTGCTAATGGTACTTTTTGCCAAATCAGAATTTTAATTCTTTATGTTGTAATATTTATGTCTGAAAAAAACTAATCTGACATTATGAAATGGCCAGCTAATATATCATACATTACTTAGGCAGGCACCACTTATTATTTGTCTTTGCCTTGTAGATCCCGTGTGAAGTTTTGCTTCATTTTAAAGATCTGCTGAAATACTGTGCTACTTAAGAATAATTTTTACTTCACATTTTGGTGTTAGCCTAATATAAAAATGTTCTTTTGATTTAAAAACATAATTTGTTAGCTTTCAGACTCTATTCTAAATTAAAATAAATTTGATCTAATAAATTTCATTTACTGAATTTTATTCATGAAAATTAAATTTTAAAGCATGTTGAAACTACTCATTAATGTTCTAACCTTTTATATAGTGTTTGGTATCTTAAGTTGAATATATGTTTGGTAATTGATTCCTAAGGCAAAAATTATTTATGTTGAAGAAGTCACTGGTGAACTTCAAATGCTAAGTTCAATGGCCTTTTTATTTTTTAAGTACTCGTTGCATTTGGTCTCATTTCAGCATATAACATTAGTGACCAACCTTCTTAAAATTTTTGGTTTTTATATGCAGTGTTTTTTTCCTAGTTCTTGGTAGCAATATAGTGCTTAAAATGCTTGAATTTTGGAACCAAGTAATTTGGGTTCAAATCTTCCCCCAACACTATGAGTTGTGACTTTGATTTGGTTTTATAATTTCTGTGCTTTAGTTTCTTCATTTGTAAACTGTGAATAACAACTATTTCTCTCTCATAGAATTGCTATGAGGATTAAATGAATGAAAACATATAGTGATTATATGCCTTCATCTGCTCTCTCCTAATCTGTTGCAGTAATAAACACCTTCATTAGTTTGAATGTCTGTAGTCTTTATCCAGTTGTCTGAATGAATTTGTTCATGTACTTGAATTTGTCCAGCAACTTCCTGTTTCTTGCAAGGTAAATCAAGTTTATACCATGGCTTATAAAGTCCTCCAAACCTGACCTTAGTTTAATTTTTATCTTCATTTCTTGTTATTTACAGCTCCAGGTGACATCTGTTCAAACCATTGCAGGCTATTTCTCCTTATTAAAATTTTACTGTTACTTTCATGCAATCTTCCTTTTACTTTATGTTGTATCCTCTTACCTAATAGGACCTCCCCTTTTTCTCTGGAATGAGGGTTTCTCACTTGCTTATATTTAGTCTATATGTCTTGGTCAATCCATGATTCTTAGTGTGTAAATACTATACCTAAAAAATTAAAGCAAATTAGTTTTAATAGTCCCAATCCCAAGCTCAGTGCTGATCACATAGTATGCCCTTTACACATCTGAAGAGAATAAGAATCTATAGATTTTAATTAAGGTGGCTCTTATTTAAAATTTTAGAAGTGACAGTCATCAGATAGTATTGGGAACTTGGCTTAGTTATTTTTATATACAAAACACTGAAGCCGGGGCGCCTGGGTGGCTCAGTCTTTAGACGTCTGCCTTAAGCTCTGGTCATGATCCCAGGGTCCTGGGATCAAGCCTCCGGGCAGGCTCTCTGCTCAGCAGGGAGCCTGCTTCTTCCTCTCCCACCCCCCCTGCTTGTGTTCCCTCTCTCGCCATCTCTCTGTCAAATAAATGAATAGAATCTTTAAAAACAAAAACAAGGGGCGCCTGGGTGGCTCAGTCGGCTGAGCGACTGCCTTCGGCTCAGGTCATGATCCTGGAGTCCCGGGATCGAGTCCCGCATCGGGCTCCCCGCTCGGCGGGGAGTCTGCTTCTCCCTCTGACCCTCCCCCCCTCATGCTCTCTCTCTCTCTCTCATTCTCTCTCTCAAATAAATAAATAAAATCTTTTAAAAAAATAAATAAATAAATAAAAACAAATAAAAACAAAACACTGAAGCCTTGTTTAGATTGGGATGGTAGTTTCTGTCATCATTTGTTTTAATATAATTTGTGTAGTAATTCAGTTAATTTTTTTTCATGGCTGTATTCTAAGTATATTTTAAAATTCTTAGATGAATTTTATTACCCTTAATATTCCTGTTGTGTTTCTAAAGTACTTATTTCATTAAAATCTGAAGTATCTTTAATCTGAAAATATGTGTTACCATTAGTTTTTGCTGATTTTTAACTGCTTGGGTAATACAGAGTCAGGTAAGTTAGGTCTGACTATATCTTAATCTAGTTTGGTCAGAATAGAGGAAATAAAGCTATATAATTTGTTTTGTAATGTGTAACTGGGTCTCCGTTTTACACTTTTTTTGCTTATTATTTATGTTGTATTTATCATATGTGTTATATATCCATATGTTATAAACCTCAGAACAAAATATCTAAAGAAATTTGTTAACAGATTGAGAACTTCTAATTTCGCTTTCTGGAGTAATAACATGGCAGTAGAAAGCATGTGTTTTTTTTTTTTTTTCAGGTTTGTTTTGTTTTGTTGATACACGTACTTTGATATAATACCATATTCTTTTACTTCACTGTAGTGATTAGCTTCTAAGGAGTCCTATGCAGTTATTTCTTTCAGCGGCTCTTGCTTACATGAATTATATCTAGCAGCTATCTATATAACTCCCAGTACCCTTTATGTTTGTAGCTTCATTAGTTAACGTGTGTATGTATAAGACTCTAACTCTAGCACTCTTTTCTGGTATCAGGTAAGCATTTTAAATATGTAAGATGAAAATCAACTATGAATAATTTAGGAAAATGATGATTTCCAGAAGCTGAGTGGAGGCAAAAAGAAAAGAAAAAAATAAAACATATATCTTTAAACTAACAAAGATTATAAATCACCCAGAATTATCTGTAGGACATAATTTTATAAGTTTTAACTTATGGTAGAATACCGCTTGCTTCCTTCAGTATAAAATTTAACTTTATAAGATTGTCATTCTCAACTTTAGAAGGAAATTTTTTATTGGCCACACACATACATGCACATGTATACACACAATGGCATATTTCCTAACATGTATAATTTACAAATTGTCAACTGCCAAACACTAACAACTGATGCAGGTAACACAATATTTTTGATTTTTGGCATTTAAATATCTTTTATAAATTAATTGTATTTCATACATTATTCCACTATTTCATTTTAAGGGGAAAAATCAATTCTTTTAGTGCTTTGGCTGTGTTAATTATATAAATATTCTTACCTTTCATTGTAATAATCTTCCTTCTCAGAATTTATCACAAATACTCAAAGAAAAAAAGCTATATAAAAGAACATTTTTATAGTAGGAAAAAATCTCACCCCCAAAACACACAAATCCCCAAATAAAAACAGCTTAAACATGGTATATAGGAGGTGGATGATAAATTGCAAATCAGGATAATAAAAATATCATGTATCTTTTATAGATTACAATGTAATTACATAGGAATGAAGAAACCTATTTTAGCGTGTAAGCATATGCCACTAAATTGTTACATATAGACAGCTAGAGATTGGAAGGGAATAAAAAATGAGCATGGTATTTATTTAGTATGGTAGGATTATGAGTAAAATAGTAAAAATTTTTTACAAAATTTCAAGTTAATTACATGAATTTAATGTTTAAACAGAGCCCTATTTGACACACATACAAAAAGGCTAAGTATAAAAAACATGGCCATGATCAGTTGACCATGGCACAAAACCTAGGCTTAAAATAGGTTTAGTTTTCAATTAGCAATAATCGCGCCTCGGATAAACCTCATTGGCTACGATACTGCCACTGCGCAAAGCTTAAAATAGGTTTAAAAACCTAACATAAACCTTTGCTCAGAAATTACCACTTCCTAGGGAAAATTTTATTCAAATGAAATAAACATCAAATTTCCTCTCCCACTACTAAGGGTAGACTAAATATGTTTTTATACTATGTGTGTAAGTTTTTATACACATAGTTTCAGTTAGTAAAGAAAATGCTAAATATACTGAGGTATAAACAATTTATTGATTCATATGTAAGTATATATTTCTTGACATACCTAATCATTATAAATTAGGCCCCCAGTGTTGTCTGGCAGTCCTTTCATGTTTTCCAAGTCAACTTGAACATTCATGCTGACAACACCTATTTCCAGTCTCCTTATGCACCTCATCTTAACACCTCTTCTCTTCTTTCTTCGTGTTTAACCAATGACCTCATCTCCTCTTCACATAGAAAACAGAAACCATCAGACAGAAAGGCACAAACTTTCTGATATGTAACCTGTAACTTACCTATAAATGTATTGATATCTATAGGCATCTCTTCCATCACCCTTATCTCTCCTCTTTTAGTAACAGTATACCCAGAAAAGGTGGTCCTTTTTCCTTTTGAATGTAATATTTCAACCAATGCCCTGGATCCCATTCTCCTTGACGCAGATTATTTCCTACTCCTCTATCTTCCACTTGTTCTCCATTGATTACTTTCCTCAGCTTTCAAGACATGGCATTCCCCTAGGTATTCTATCGCTCTGGATAGTCCTTTTATAGACTTCTCTCCCTCTGCCTTCCCTGCTCATGTTAGTGTTCCTTTACATTGTGTCCCATATCCTTTTTTCATTCTACAGAGTCCCTTGTGATTTCATCTTTGATATATCATTAGTTTTCCCATTAATGCAGAATTGTTGTTTTTTTTTAAATTGAATTATAGTTGACACACAATATTACATTAGTTTCGGGTGTGTATCATAGTGATTGGACAAGTCGATACATTATACTATGCTCACCACAGATGTAGCTACCATCTGTCACCATACAGTGCTGTTGTAGTATCATTGATTATATTCCCTATGTTGTACCTTTATCCCCCGTGACTGATTTATTCCATAACTGGAATCTCCCACTCCCCTTCAGCCATTTTGCCTGTCCTCCTACCACCCATCCTTTTTGGCAACCATCAATTTGTTCTCCATATTTAAGAGGTAGTTTCTGCTTTTTGTTTATTTATTTTTTAGATTCTACATATAAATAGTGAAATTGTATGGTAATTTTCTTTCTCTGGCTTATTTCACTTAGCAGAATACCCTCTAGGTTCATCCATGTTGTTGCAAATGGCAAGATCTCATCCTTTTTATGTCTGAGTAATACTCCATTGTGTGTGTATATATGTATATGTATGTATATATATATATACACACCACATCCATTCATCCATTAGTGGACACTTGGATTGCTTCCGTATCTTGGCTGTTGTAAACAATGCTGCAATAGACATGGATCCATATATCTTTTTGAATTAGTTTTTTTTCATTTTCTTTGGGTAAATATCCAGTAGTGGGATTCTTGGATCATCTGGTGTTTTCTATATTTAAGTCTAGCCAGACTCTGTATACTTAGTCTCTGACTGGTATAGCCAGTCACACACATCTCGATAGCAATCTCTACCTTCTATATCTATGCCTTCGTTTTGCATCTTCACATCAAAACTTTTGCAACTGCTTCAGTTTTGGCCTTTCTCTTGTCATGCGTGAACTTTTGCAGGTAACTTTCTAAAATTTCTCCCTCTTAATAGCTTCCTTTTCCTCCAGTTAATGCATCCACAGCTCTCTTTCTGTATCACATGCTTATGTTATTGATTTGCTTAAGTCCTTTCAGAGGATCTCCAGGAAACTGTCTAGACCCCTGTCACTTATCCACAAGTGCCCTTTACTCCAGTCATACCAATACAATGTGGCTTTTCTGACATAACTCTTTTTAAAAATTCCTCTGTAGTTTCTTCTGCCTCAAATTTTATTCCACATATTCTCTGACTGATAAATTCCAGCTTACCTTTTAACACTTGCTTTAATCTTTTGTTGATCTTTTTTATTTATCTTTTACTTAACCCTCTCCTACTTCTCAAACAAAGATTGTCTCTTGCTACATTAACAGCTTATGCAGGCTTCTGTGGTAATACTTGTCACCCTGTACTGAATCTTCCTTGGAGTCTTATGCTTTTGTTCAATGACTCCTTCATCAGACTGAACTTAATGAGTTTTATTTATCTTTATATCTCAAGAGCTAGGATAAAACTTCGCATGCTGTAATCTTTCAGTAATTTTTTTGAATGGATGGTTTATAAAAGACACTTGGTTAGTGTGGGTTACACTTAGAACCCAGACCTCTTGACTTTCACTGTTCATTATCATACTGTTTCTATAGGTTCTATGTTATTAAGTTCTTAAAAAAATTTTACTCTCTTAGAGACTGTTATATTGCAGTTTTATCTTTTACATGCCCTCTCAACAATTTCTTTTTTTAAATGAATTGTGTGTACTTTTTAACACTTTTATTCTAGTGTTTTGACTTTTCATCATTTTGGAGAATAATGCTCCTTCTGTATTAACTGTAGAAGTCTCTTCATTGTTTAAATACTTGAAATAATAAACCTTTTGCAGTGTCGTCACTGTGTGTCATTGGGTTTCCACATTTCCCTTCTATGACGACAGCTACGTTCTGTAACATTTTATTCAGTTAATCTGATCACTTCAGTATAATTGGTTAACCAATTCTTGATACATTTCTTGAGTTTTAATAATCACAGTCACATTTTTTTAAATTCTGCACCCATTTTAGTAGTAGTAGTATATCCCCTATATAAAACTGTTCACTTAATAAATTTCCTAGACCTTCTTGTTCTGATGTTTGGCTCTCTTAAATTCTTGCAAAAAAATTCTTGTTAACAATGTGTGATTTATTGCTATTAGTCATGTTATCTGCAGGCACGTTTTTCAGTCTCACTAAGCCTCTTTTTTTGTGTTGGTAAATAAGAAAAATAACTTATGACATATATATATATATAAGTGTATATATGTATATAACATTGCTCCCTTTGTACTTCATTACTTAACCTGCACTAGTCTAAAGAATTACATTTCACATTAAATTGTCTTCATCTTAATTGTTATTTTTATCAACTTGAATTTTGATTTACACTAACTTTATTAGTTAGTAGAACTAGAATTAGAAACTAAAACACAAATAAGTGAAATGACTTACCAAAATTTTCAAAAGATTTATTTGCTGTTAAATTTGATTTTTTCTTTAAAACCCTGCATATTTTTTTAAAAAAAAGTTCTTGCGATCTTGATTCCCTTGAATGTACTCTTTTCTGAAAATTAACCTATCAATTCCAGAATTTATTCTCTCTCTCCAAAACAATACCTCTTTCATTTTCCCTCATTGGTTATTATTATATTTAATTCTGTACTAGAAAAGATTACACTGCTTTTTAACCAAAGTTGTTTTTTTTGTTTTGTTTTGTTATACCCTTACTTTAGTTCTTTGGTGAAAGAGAGAGGAAGAAATTTAGAAAAAAAAAGTGAATTACCCAGTTTCTTCAGCTTCCCTTTCATAGGTACTATATCAGTTGTTTAATTCTTCATGGTGTTCTTTGAACCTTATCTGAATACTCCATGGTTTCTTTAAAAGGTAAAATTCAAGGGCACCTGGGTGGCTCAGATGGTTAAGCATCTGCCTTCCACAGGGTCCTGGGATCAAGTCCCGCATCAGGCTCCCTTCTAGGCGGGGAGCCTGCTTCTCCCTCTGCCTCTGCCTCTCTCTCTCTCTCTCTGACTCTCATGAATAAATAAGTAAAACATTTAAAAAAAATAAAAGGTAAAATTCAGAACTCTGGAAACTTTTTTTTTTTAAATGAGGTACTTGATGTATGTATGTATGTATGTATGTATGTATGTATTCTAAAATACTTAGGCCTAAGTTTGAGGAAAGTATTATGGCTAAAAGAACAAGTCAGAATGGTTGAGTATTACCTTGTGAATATACTATTAAAAATGTGACCACATAATGTTGACTTAGTGTAAAATTTTAGTTCATGCATTCTGTGTGTGTATGGATTTTTTAGTATAAAGATAATACATGAAACCAAGGATCCTGAGTGTGATTTAGTTCATAAATAGGCAACCATTTGAGCACTTGAGAATTGATAGATTGAACTACATAAAAGTAACTCTTTAAGTATGTTCTTTCCAAATAATAGCAAGTGGAGGAGTTCTGCTTTGAAAGAAGCTGTTAGACATCCCCTGTAATTGCTCAGTAAATCAGACACAGACAGCTGCACTAGGAAGATAGGCCTCGGAAAGACTAAATCAATGGGATTCAGTCACATCCAAGTGAAATTACATCAGTCAGTAACTTTCCTTTTAAGTGACTTAAATCTTCCAGACCCAAATTTCTCTTATTAGGTACTTATTTATGTAATTTGTTAAGGAATTGAAAAATTACCTAGTTATATCAAGGACCTTGTGACATGGCCTGTAAATGTAGATCTTTTAAAAGAAAAGTTGAGTTTCATTTCTTTGACTGTTCTTTTGAAGCTTTCATTTATAAATAAATAATGAAATCAATTTTTTCTTTATTTTTTAAAATAAGATTCCTGTGTTTAGTCTCAGATTTATTTTCTAATCTGTCTCCTATTTATTAAGGATATTAAAATCCATTCATTTATTCATCCATCAAATTGTTATTTTGGAGGATATATAAGAGACATAAGAATTTAGAGGATCGGGGCGCCTGGGTGGCTCAGTTGGTTAAGTGACTGCCTTCGGCTCAGGTCATGATCCTGGAGTCCCGGGATCGAGTCCCGCATCGGGCTCCCTGCTCGGCAGGGAGTCTGCTTCTCCCTCTGACCCTCCCCCCTCTCATGTGCTCTCTCTCTCTCTCTCTCTTATTCTCTCTCTCAAATAAATAAAATCTTAAAAAAAAAAATTTAGAGGATCATGGAAATATTCCTAAAAGGATAACTGACTAACCAAA